TTGGTTAACAAAAATTTGTAAAGAGGTCAAAAAATAGCAAAATACACGAAAGGAGAAAAATGAAAGGACTTGCTTTCAGCACGTTTGGGAACCAGCAAATCGGTGCTTTTATCCGATATCATCGACACATCACAAAAATTCGTATTTACAATTGGCATTTTTCGGCTTTTTTGAAAAAATGACCATCTGTTGCTTCGCTCTTTGCTGTACGGCCTTAAAATCATATCCTGCCCATCATTTCTTAACACCTTTGGTTTCGCTTCGCCCTGCAACTGCAAAGCCGAAAAGTTAAAAAGACCTATTGTTGACGATAAAACACATCTTCAAAGCATAGTCAGGGCTACCGGAGCAGCCCTCAATTTTTTGAGATGAGCTGCTGCGAATGGATGCGTTATGAGCCAGTCCAACAAAAAGAACGGGAAAATTTTTTTTTATTTATTAACTGCATGGAGAAGCACTCAGTTAACAAGTGAAGAATTAGATTTTGATATGGAATTGTTATTTCTAATTGCATTTGGACTGAAGTAGACGGAAATATGAGAAAGTTTGGAAACCTTTTTGAATTGATTCATCACAGTTTAGAATTATAAAATCGGTCTAAACTTGGACCTAAGTTTACTTGGCGACGGAAATCTGAATTCCCTATACATGGAAGTTAGCTGTATTAATCATTCTTTTAGTGTTATGTCTTTTACATGCTTTCATCGCTTAGTGCAATTGGCTCGGAGAGAGTAGCTTACACCAAACCATTTAAACTCCTTTGCAGGTAAACTAACGCAAATATGGTTTTTGGCAAAACGAGGCTGTATGCTTGTGTCTGCCACATTAATTGGGTTCACAACTACGAAAGTTAAGAAGCTGAAATTTTTGTAACTATTATCCTCATCTCTTTACGTATTAGTGGAGAGAGCGTCAAGGATTTGTCCTCATGGCTTAAAACTGTGCTAACATTTTTCCGTGTGCGATAGGATATTTCAGAGGAGAGGTTGCTGTGCGACAAGCTAAAAAGCCATTGTTGACGAGACAAAGAAAATTACATATGTTTTGTTGTACTCACCCACTCCACAGCAGCTTCAGAAAACCGTTACCAAAAAAACTCGTAAAAAACAAAAAAAA